GTGTCAGTGGACTTTTCCATGAAATGGGTTTATTTTCTTCCCATGGCTGCAACAAGCATATATATATGTGTGTGTGTATATATATATATATGCATATATAGCATATATATTATATATATATTAATTAGCGATAGCTATCCTTTCCTAATAACACATTTCCACACGATATACTCAAACATTTTCAAAGGCCCATGGTGCTTGGGCAGTAGGCTGGTACTGGGGATACAAAAGGAAAAAAAAAGGACCCGAAGAACAGCTTGCGTTGAACCCACATTTAAAAGTTCATTGCAAGTCAAGCTTCATATTCTGTTTTTTAATTTCTAAGTAGGGCAATTATTTTTAAGTTCCTCCTATAAAAATTAGAGGATGATTTTTTTCCCCTTGGAAAGTTAAAAAAAAAATCTATAAAGTTGTCAGGATCAAGCAATTAGGGCATGTCTGTGAAACACTTGGAATCTGAAAAATATGGTAAAACTTTAATTTAAAAGCAACCTGCAATTAACATCACCTTTCAAAATTATTCTCAAATTAGCCAACTAAATTATATTCAGCCAAAATACAGAAGATGGACCGATCTGCTATTATGGTAATCTTCTCAGCAAGGCTGGGCCAACAGATGTAAGGAACAAAAATCAAGTTCAAGTTTGTATTTCATTTGCTCATTTTCCTTCAATGATGGCAGATGGCTTAAATATTAACCCTATTAATAAAATACTTGAATATTCATTACACAGCTGATCAACTTAATTTATAACTCCAAAAACTCACATTATGAATTCCACTGCACGGATGCCCACCTGACTCAGTTTCTTAAACCTGTCACTCCGAGTGGTCCAGCCAACAGCCTGGGCATCAGCTGGAGGTTGTTAGAACTGCACACACTCCCATGCTGCGTCTATTCTGAGCCAGAATTTGCACTTTAACAAAAATCCCACGTGATTCCTATGCATTTTAAGTATGCGTAGACCAGCGGAAGCGGCTGTGAAATTTTTGTGGGTTTTTTGGGGGAGGGGTTTTCTTTCACTTTCTTTTTTTGGTGCCGTTCCTGGGGTTCGAACTCAGGTTGTGGGCGCTGTCCCTGAGCTTTTTTTGCTCAAGGCTAGCACTCTACCACTGGAATAAAGCTCCACTTCTGAATTTTTGGTGGTTCATGGTGGAGATAACCTGGACTGGCTTTGAGCCACGATTTCCAGATCTCCTGAGTAGCTAGGATTACAGGCGTGAGCCACCAGCACCTAGCTGGTTTGAGAGAGAGAGAGAGAGAGAGAGAGAGAGAGTTGTTATTTTTTTCTTGGATGGTTACAAAGAAATTTACGTCCAAATTGTGGTTCAACTGAACCTCCTTTATACAACTACTTAAAGAAATGTTTTGGTTTTTTTTTAATGCTCGGCAAATTTTCTCCAGACAGTTAACAATTCAGAACAGTAAATCAGTCAGCACACATATTCTATATAATAATCTTTATGTCTCAGACAATCTTATCTTTCAGCTGGGACTTCAAGTGTAAGGAATCTCATTTTTTCCTTTCCGGTTGATATTTCTGTCTTCCCACATGGCCACTGTGATAAAAATTTTCTTTGGGCTGGGAGTGTGGCTTAGTGGTAGAGTGCTTGCTCTAGCATGCGTGAAGCCCTGGGTTCAAGTCCTCAGCACCACATACACAGAAAAAACTGGAAGTGGTGCTCTGGCTCAAGTGATAAAGTGCTAGCCTTGAGCAAAAGAAGCCCAGGAACAGTGCCCAGGCCCTGAGTTCAAGCCCCAGGTCTGGCAAAAAAAAAAAAAATTAGAACTAAACAAGTTATACATCACAGAACCAGGAGAACAGATTCCACAATTTCAGAGAAAAAAAAATTCAAAATAGGCTTATCCAAAGCTGATTTTGCAAATTGCTCAGGGGGAAAAGAAGCCACCAGAATGACTCTATCCTTCACCATAATTTTTTATGTGTGCTTAATTTACCCTAACAGATTTTTTTAAACTGCAGGTATCACATATTTTTAAAATAAGAAATTCACCCAAGACTTAAAGAGGGTATCGTTCTTCAGATGGCTCATCTTTTATTATTAATATTACTGCACAATAGTCACTGTGCCCATAAAATAGAACAAATCTTATTTCTAGGCTGTAACAGATCACAGCAGGATGGCTCAGCACAGGTTCAGAGAAAGGTACAAATGTTCCGTTTCAAAAGCTCTGCAAAAGCCAACTTCATCTCTGGTCGCCACGGCCATGGATCTATGCCAAGCATTTGAGAACTGTAGAATACAGTGCTGCTTCTTATAAGCAATTATAAAGAGCTCTGCAAAGGGAATGGGGGACTGTCATAAAAACTGACTTCTACCAAATGGCCAGGTATCCATATGCCTCTGTCACGTATGAGGGACCGCACTGTGTCTGCGCCAATGTATCAGACACAGATGCCTTAGGAGAAAGGGCTAGAAGAGGATGGAGAGAAATTATTAAGGAACCTTCTGGATCCATCTCTAAAGTAAGATCTGCCAGCACTCAAACAGCTCTAGCTTTTCCCAAGCCCCAGTTACAGATCCATCACTTTTTTTTTTTTTGGACCATTGTGGGGCTTGAACTCTGGGCCTGGGCGCTGTTCCTCAGCTCTTCAGCTCAAGGCTAGCTTTCTACTCCTTAAGCCACAGCACCACTTCCAGTTTTCTGGAATCTCACAGACCTTCCTGCCTGGGCTGGCTTTGAACTGCGATCCTCAGATGTCAGCCTCCTGAGGAGCTAGGATGGCAGGCGTGAGCCACTGGCGCCCAGCAGATCCATCACTCTTGAACTTAACTCTTTCCCCCATGTTGTAGTTTCAGTCTGAGTCATTTTTCAGGATATACAGTTCCTCAGAGGACACAACTAGTGTTTAGTACTTTTAAAAATGGGCCTACAAGCCAGGTGCTGGTGCCTTATGCTACTCAGTACTCTGAGATCTGAGGATTGCAGTTGGAAGCCAATAGGGGCAGTAAAGTCTGTGAGACTCTATCACTTGAGCTTCAGCACCACTTCTGTTTTCTGATGGTTTCTTGGAGATAAAAGTTTCACGGAGCTTCCTGCCCGGGCTGGCTTTGAACCATGATCCTCAAATCTCAGCCTCTTGAGTAGCTAGGATTACAGGTGTGAGCCACTGGCGCTCGGCTGTGAGACTCTTGTCTTCAAGAAATGACTCAGAAAAAGCCACAAATGGAAAGTCCTAGCCTTGAGCAAAAAGAAGCTCAGGGACAGAGCCCAGACCCCGAGTTCAAGCCCTAGGACTGGCACACACACACACACACACACACACACATACACACACACACACACACACACACACACACACACACTGATTTCAAGCTTTAGTCTTCTGGAATGTGACAAATAATTCAGGATGCCCTACCTTTACTCCCATTCACAAGCCCGCCTCTTAGTGCTTTATTTCATTTTCCTTTTCTATCCCTCATTCTTCAGTACACACCTGTCTGGCTTGAGGGAAACACCTCTTGGCAAAGACCGTGAAAGATCTTCCTGCTGCTACATTCAACACCTTCCTTCATCCCCTGGGAACTTCCCATCTCTGTCCCCTGCCAATCTTCTTGGGACTCCGGCCCCTCTACCTGCCCTGCAGACCTTGGAATACCTTGGGACTTGTGCTGGAATCTCATCTAACCCCGTGACTGGAAATGTCACCTTCAAGCTGCTGACTCACACCTCCAGTCCAGATCTGCCTTCTGAGTCCAAAAACAGTATGCCCAACCGTCCACTCAGTGTCTCCGCAGGACGCTTCAGAAATGTCTTAAAGCCACTATATCCCAAGGTAATGTGTTTGTGGTCTTCCCCTTCTCCAATGTTTCCCACTCCCCAAGCAACTGCCAGTCGTTCCTATTCTCATGTCCAATCAATGACCATGGCCACCATCTTGGGCCTCCAAAATACATATCCCATTTTCCCATCATCCCATAGTACCATCTCTGTCCTACACTAAGTGACTTTCCTGAATCTACTCATCCTTCCCACTACCGCCCAGTCCCACGACACTCAACAGAGTGAGCTTTCCAGGATTAAAATGCCCCTGCTTTAAAAAAAAATCCTTCAGTGGCTTCTTGGTGATTTTCAGAATAATGCAAGACACCTGCCTACCTCCCAAGACAGCCCCACCTCACCAACCTTCCTTTGGTTCTAAAATATTCCTTTATCATCACCACTCTTCTCTCCTTCACCCTTCTCCACTTACTGAGGTTTTCCCAGGTGCATAGTCTTTGCATGCATTGTGTTTTCCACTTGCAGTATTTAGTCTCTTTCCTTGTACTCTTCCACTATGCACAGCTGCCCCCAAACACATAAATATACATATGTATATATGTGTGTGTGTATACACATGTACAATTTAACACACACCATATGCCATTTTCGTTACGGCACTGTGTGAGGTGATTGATAGGTTACTGCAAAATAATATATCCTATGAAAACTGGGCACGCCTGTGGCTCATGCCTGTCATCCTAGCTCCTCAGGAGGCTGAGATCTGAGGATCGCGGTTCAAAGTCAGCCTGGGCAGGAAAGTCTGTGAGACTCTTATCTCCAATGAACCACCAGAAAACTGGAAGTGGAGCTGTGACTCAAAGTGGTAGAGTGCTAGCCTTGAGCAAAAAGATGAATTTAGGAGTCCACGGGAAGTTGCACACACATGACGCTCAACAGATACCTGTTGGCTGGAGGAAATGTTTCCACGTGTGCCCAGGAGGCCTAAGACCACATGTGGCTCCTCCTCCCACCTCCCCTCACCCCTACTTCCACCTCCCCTCACCCCACCTTACCTCACCCCTCAACTCCCCTCACCCACTCCCACCCCTCCCTCACCCCACCATGCCTCCCCCCTCCCTTCACCACCTCCCCCCCACCTCCCCTCCCCTCTCCCCTGCTCACCTCCTCCCCCCTCCCACTCCCTACCCTGTACCTCACCTCCTCCCTCCCTCCCTCAGGAGCGCCCGACGCCATTGCTGCCCTGAGGCCTCACCTTCCAAGTAGGAGAAGGAGCCGTGGCAGCTTCGGGCCCAGGCTCGGACGACTCGCGGGCACCTGAGAGCATGAAGCGGCCATACCGCTGCAGAGGCCACTGCGCCACTTCTCCCAGAAGACCCAAGTTGGCCACTTTTCCCGCACCTGCCGCCATGTGCAGCCTCCCGAGCATGCGCTTCCGGTGGAGAAAGCCCCCCCCGCCGGGCAGCAAGCCAATCAGGAAGCGCGGTGACCTTAAAGGCCCGCCCTCCCGGCTGCAGAAGCCAATGGGAGGTCTGGGACTGCTTGAGCGGGCTTCTCCGGACCTTGGGCGACTTCAGTCACTTCCGCCATGAGCAGGCCTCCTCTCGCCTAGGAAGAGGGGCTTGGACTTGGAGAAGTTCCTGGAACTGGCTGCATGGTGTGGTACTTCCTGACGCCATCCTGTATCCCTGGAGGGATTTTCAGCGTTTTCACCCTGTGTGGGGAGCAGGTGGGTAGACAGCCAGCCATGAGAGCTGGGCCCCATCCAGCTGCAGGCTTCCAGCCACCAAGGCTAGCCTGGACTTGCTGGCCACGGAAAGTGGGTGTCCATCCAACTCAGGTGCCACGATGCAACGCTCCCAGGTGACTTAGAGTCCACGAAGCACTTCCACATCCGTCCTTCCGTGTATCCTCCCAACATCCTTGCGAATTAAAGACACAAATCAGTGGCATGGACTAGACAGGGTCCCATAAGATCCCACGTCCAGACCTGATTTTGTCTAGGGTCAGAGAATGGCCCTGTAAAAGCGTTGATCTCCCACAGGCTCCCCGTGTGTCCCTCCCCCCCCCAGGTGTGTCCGTCCTATTTGCAAAGAAAATTTAGGTATTTATGCAGTCGGTGTCAAATCTGGGCCACTGTGTTAACCAGACACATGTGAGATAATCAAAATGCAAATAATTTTCCAACTACACAGACCAAAGAGAATGAAGTACATGAAGAGTGGTGGAGAAAAGTGGTCACTTGTTCTCTTTACAGAGCAGGGAATATCCACTGTGGGTAAACAATTATGCCAGTCTGGCTCTGGCTTCAATCATCTAACCTCTGGGACCTGAGATTTAATAAAGAAGACAAAGCAAGACACAAATACACCCATAGTATCTCAGTGAATGCCATGTGCTGGGAGAGTTCAGGTGAGGTTAAAGAATAAGCCCACCACTGGTGGCTCACTCCTAGCTACTTAGGAGGTTGAATTCTGAGGATCATTTTTCAAAGTTCAAAGCCAGCTTGGGCAGGAAAAGTCCATGAGATTCTTATCTCCAATGAACCACTAAAAAGTCACTCGAGCATGGTAGAGCTAGCTGTGAGCAGAATAGCTCTAGGACAGCACCCAGGCCCTGAGTTCAAGCCTCAGGACCAGCAAACATACTCATACATATCTATGAAGGATGAGAAAGTTTTCCAAGATGGAGAAAAATGGAGTTCCTTGTGGAGGGGACATTGATCTAGGATGATCACAGAACTAACCAGAATGTGAAGATGTTTTCTAAGATGAGTCTATTAAGCTGAGTGAGGGAAAAGTAGTATACCATGACTGCTCAGTTTTCCCGTGGTGATAAAATGATATCTTATAGTGACATTCCCCCAGAGAAGGTCTGGGATGGTCAATTTCTCAAGAGCAGAGGGGATAAATTACATTTAAGGCAAGAATTTGTTACTCTGTGTGTGTGTGTGTGTGTGTGTGTGTGTGTGTGTGTTGGTTTTGGGGCTTGAACTCAGGACCTGGGCTCTGTCTCTGAGCTTTATCACTCAAGGCTGACACTCTGCCACCTGCACCACAGCTCCATCTTGGACTTTTTGCTGATTAATTGGAGATAAGAGTCACACAGACTTTCCTGTCCCAGCTGGCATTGAACCACCATCCTCAGATCTCAGCCTTTTGAATAGCTAGGATTTCAATCATGAGCCACCAGTGTCTGGCATTGTTACCTAACTTTTTATTGGTCTAGTCATATTTACCGAAAGGGTCAAAGTTCAAGAACCGCTTCGGAAAGATCCTCAAATGACACAACAGTATTACACTTAGAATAGTAGTCAATAGCTGAAAACTTGGTTTAAGTCTCACGTCTATACCCCGCCAGCTGGGTGACCTTGGGGAACTCGTACAACCTCTCTGTAAAGTTATTAAATAGCCACCGTAAGGTCACAGAGAGAATGAAGTAAGAACATCTGTGGGGAAGCACTGGGTTGGTGTGTCCCACCCACCATGGCGGGCACGTTGGGACTTTCTGCTTGCAGAGTTAACGACTTTTTGAGTGCTCATTTCAGGAAGGGAGGATGGGAGCCGGAGACTGACATTGGGTCTCGGAGGATCTCACCTTCCAGGCCCCGGGCTGCAGCTGCCAGACACCCTTCACAGGAGCAGATGGTGCTCGCCTGGCAGCGGGATGCAGTCAGTGCCCAAGGACACCAGGGCCCTGCTGGGCTCCCACCCCCAAGCTTGCTTCCTAGACGGTGCACCTGTGCTCCAGCTTCTGGGGCCTCTGGTGGCTGCCAAGAGGAGATCATGTCTGCAGAGGCGAAGATGATAAAACCCACAGCCCAGTGCACGGAGGCGGGGATGAAGTCACAATATTAGCTAATGTGACTTGAATGTTCAAGGGTACCCAGCATGATGCAAGAACAGACCAAGCTTTTTCTCTCCTGAGGCTTAAACTCTAGGAGGGGGAAGAAGGCAGAGTAAGTTACTCAGTATTGTTAACAGCCAATATGTTTTGTTTTAAAGACAAAGCTGTTGCATTAATTAAAGTGCAACTGTACTTTATTAATTTTTCTTTGGACCCGTACTGGGGGTTGAACTTAGGGCCTGGGTGCTGTTCTTTAGCTTTTGCTGTTCAGGGCTGGTGCTTTACCACTTGAGCTACACCTCCACTTCTGGCTTTTTGCTAGTTAATTGGAGATAAGAATCTCACAGAAGTTCTTGCTCAGGCTGGGTTTGAACCATGATCCTCAGATCCTAGTCTCCTGACTTGCTAGGATTACAGGAGTGAGCCACCAGTGCCTGGCTTAATTTTTTTTAATGTTTTTCAAAGAGCAAATGTTAAATAAAATAGATAAACCCTTGTTAGTTTTCTAGGTGTTTCTTTTCTTTTTTTAGTGGTTTTGTTTCCTGCTAGCATTGACTACTGTAAAGTTATACCCATATTCCTCTAGAGATTTCTTTTAGAAACTCCATGGTTCTGACTTTTACATCTAGACATAAGATCCTTCTTGCATTTAATTGTCTTTGGGCCATGAGATATGGATTGAGGTTCATTTAATTTTCCAAATGGAAATGTATTGGGCACAAGGGAACTTCCATCTCAATCATAATGGAAATAAACCTGGAGAAGAGAGCCAGCTTTTCAGGCAAACACTATCACAGAACGGGGGGCAAAAATAAAGGAGTGGAGAAGGGAGCAGTACGGGTTTTGAGGTTCAGGGGAGGGAAGAAGACTCCAATCAGATTGCCAGGGTGGTCTAAGGTGCAGCGATTTTCCTTAAGCCACAGAATATAGCATGTTTGGAAAGAAGTCCGTTTTTCATGTTTTAAGGCATTTCTTTTCTGGAAAATCCAGACCAATGATCAGGTCATCTTTGGCAACACCAGGGCACTGAGACAGGTCAATTGAGGGAAAGAATGCTAGAACCAATCCCTCTTCCCAATCACACCCTGGATGCCAAACACCCTCCATTCCTCGCTTCTCCTTAGTGCCCCTCCTCACAGCCGCGCCCTGTGGATGATTTGTGGTCAGTCTGCGGTTAGCGCTTCTCCGGGAGCGTGGAAACACAGTGGATCGGAACCCCCGAGGCACCTGCGCAGTGGAACCCTGTGCGTCCTTAACCTGACCTTTTCTGAAAACCCGCTGTTTACGGCCTCATGCGTGTGGGTCTCATCTCATGATAAGACACTTGCAATTATGGGCTGGCAGCTTGGCGCATGTGCAGATCCCTTCCAATAACCTGCCAAGTCATGATCCCTCATCTCCCTAAGATTAGCCCACTGTCATCAACACCAACAGGTGGCCCTGGGCTTTCCAGAAAAGCCCAGCTTCAGCAGAGAAGACAGAAGAGCTGGCCCCATCATGGCAGGCGTGTGGGGCAGGCCGCACACGGCCAGAAAGCCATCGATTGTTTCTGCTTTCCACTCTGTTCCTGGAACTGCAAAGTCTGCTGCTCTCTTGCAGATCGCTCGGGACTGTCGGGTGACACAGACAGGCCCAACGTGTCTATGTCCTAGAAGCTGTTCAGAAGCACAGTGGGAGGAGAGATTAACACTGACTTCTCTCATTTATCCAGTGCACGTAAGAGTCACAAGCTAGGGGACATGTTTGCTAGCTGGCAGATTTGGGGGGACATTGTTAAAAAACTGATCTAGAATCAGAAATTGGAACTGAGAGTCAATTCCACAGAAAGACTATGAACTCCCTTCTGCACTGGATGGACTGATATTACAGAGTTCTTGGCCATAACCTGGAGCTTGCTAGATTAGTGTGATAGTACACACCCAGGCCTCCAGACTTTCTTGTATATATGCTGGCACCAGGGCCTGACCTCAGAGCTTTTCTTACTTGGCTTTTTGTTTGTTTGTTTTTTGCTCATGGCTGGTGCTCTACCATGTAAGCCACACCTCCAGTCTAGCTTTTTGCTGATTAACTGGAGATGGAGTCTCACTGACTTCAAACTGTGTTCCTGTATGTCTCAGCCTCCTGAGTAACTAGGATTACAGGTGTGAGCCCCAGCTCCAGCCTTGCTTCCATGATTATTTTTAGGACAGGGTCTTGATCTGCCTACTTTAGGCTCCTCATGGGTTGCTGGGAGCATAGGCCTACACTTTGGCATCCAGCCTTCCTCAGTGGAGACAGAATCTCAAAGACTTTTCTGCCTAGGCTTGACTGGTATCACAATCTTCCAAATCTCAGCCTCCCATGCAGCGTATACCACTGTGCCCAGCCATGGGTTGAGAGGGGGTCTCCAGCGCTTTTCTGTCCAGGATTGGCCTCAAACCTCGATTACCCCCTTCTCAACTTCCCAAATAGGTAGGTTTATAAGCATGGGGTTGGAGGCCTGGCTCAGCTGGTAGGATTATGATCATGAGTCTCCAGTGAAAGAGCTGTAAATGTTAACCTGAAGAAAAAGGACTGGTGTTCACG